CATCTTCGTTTTTATACTAGTTATGAAATCACCTATCAATGTGTCACAAACATCGAGAGAGGACGTTGTGTGGGTTGACTTACGAAACACGTGTATGTACATTTCCATGAGTTTGATGAAACAAGCGGAAATGGATTTGCCTGTCGCACGTGGGATGATATCACAAATAATAAACACGCAAACTGTCATAACAGACCGATTTTGCTTCGCTTCAAATCGTCCTGCCCTTGAAAAGAAATCACAACCTATGGCTACGGGCAACACAAGCTGCCGGTATGTCCGTGTGGATCTCTCACTGATGCTTTGCAACCTCGCATCCATCTCGTGCAATATCTCGCTTTGCGTGGTATCTGGCAACTTCTTATAAGCAGCTGCCTTGAATGCATCTATGATATGCAAAAAAATGTCGTGTTCAATGGTGTGCATATGGTCTGGTCGCAAAGCGAGATGGTAATCTAGTTCAGGATCGTCACCATGCGGACCCCTGTAGAATCCCCATAGGCCGTTCTCTTGAACATGCTTATGCATGTCCAATTCTGACATTCGTGCCTTAGCAGCACGACGAATGTCCTTGTCCCCACTGTTGAAGCAGTCCGCGGCAAGTTGCGTCTCTAGCGTCTGCGATCTCCTGCAGTTGGTGAAATCGACGATGACATCCAAATCGTCTTTGGACACTGTGCATGTTGGACAAACACCGAATTTCACAGTTGCAAGGGCACACCTTTCAGAATAGTCCTGTATATAGTTCATGACGAAAGGGTGCACTGTTATCTCACCGAACCGCTCCGTTGTTACCATCATGCCGTCATGGGATGCCTCATTTGCGGACTGCAATACTGTTGACAACGCTTTATGCAATATCACAGTTTTCCGTTTTCTAAACGCGGTGGAGTGCGGACCCCAGCCCTTGTCACGTGGCCGGTATTGAAGCACTGGAAGATACGCAAGCAGTGTGGCATCTGATAGACGATGGGCGATTGACATCATCAAAGGATACGCTGTCTGCTTTTGACGACCGTCTACATGAGTCTTGTCTGAATACAGAGACAGAGGGATGACATAACGTGTTATACCATTCGTGTCCACACCCTTGTCCGCTCTGATAATAGTTTGGACATGGTGACTCAACTGCCCCGTGCGAGAGTCAGAGATTTCGATGTCCTCCCCGGGATGTTGTATTTTGAGGCAAGACACCGTTTCAACGTTGTTCAGTGCAGCACGCACGAGGTCAGCGAACGTTGTGCGCCAGTCGCGGTACCACAGAATGACATGCGCTTCTTCGGGCCAATCATCACTGCGTAGATTCTTCTCTTACCACCCTGCAGCTTCAGCCTAGCGGCCTGCCCATGTCAGACACTCACGACTGTTACGAAATGTGATATCTCTGGGGTCAAATCTAAGATTTGTGAGGAGTGACAACAGACAGTCAACGTCAGTTTGGGACATGCCCACACCGCCCCGACACGAGAAAATCAATGTCGCTAGTTTGCGGGAGCTGTCGAATGCCTCTGCGTGTTCTTCTTGCTGTTCTTCGGATGCGCAGTCCGCTTGTACATCAGAAGGGGGCTCAACCTCCTGGCTTTGCCCACTGACCAGGTCAATGGGACCACTATTCGACGGTCCGCCGTTGACCTCCCCAACTATCTCTTCTGTCATGCTCCTCTCTTCCACAGTGGAGGGACATGCCCGCGCTCGGTGCGAGTTCATCGTCCGCAATGACATGAAAGGCCGGCCACAGTCACACACATGATTCGCGTCTTCCATTGCATCTACATGCGAGGTCTTACGAATTACTGTCAGTTAAGACCTACCGCCGATAAAGGATGCGTATTTGGTCATAAATTCATGTGTTCCTTTCACACTCCCCCCTCCCCCGTTCCCCCTCTACCTCCTGTCGACTCAACACCGCTACGGTGCACTGCTCACAGCTTCGAAGACAACGACAACATTCAAACTGAAATTAAAATCAGAAATTTTGGTGAATGTTTTGCCTTTTTTTTTTTTTTTTTTTACTTCGAGTCATGCAACCTTTTCTTTTAAGGCGTCACATCCTTGTTT